ATATATATACTTCATCTGTTCCATAGAGCTCCTCATCACACACACACACACACACACACACACACACACACACACACACACACACACACACACACACACAGAGGGGGGTCTTTCTCCTCTCTCTCTCTCTCACAGCAAGGAGCTGGTTTTCTTTCTGTGGATGAACTCGTCTGTGAAGATGTTTTAATCCTGTCTGATGTTTGAATGGAAACCCAAAAGAGCATCGTAGATATTAAGAATGAAGTAAATAACACCAATTCCAGACCACTGTTACTACATATACAGAATATTATCCCCTTTATAGACATGTATATCGTTTTCTAGTTCACTACAGACACCATTCATATTTGTAAAGCTCCTGTTCACGGTTGCTTGTGTCTCTTTTTTAGTAGCTTCCGGTCTTTGTATGCTTATTCTGAGCATCCTTGTAGTTGCATTGTGTTGCTTTTTGATGGTTTTCTGACTCGTTGTAGAAGTGGTGACTCTTTGAGAACTTCTTTAGTAAGTGTTGTGTCTCTGTAGTCATTTATAGCTGTTTGTAAAGTCTACTTTTGTCTCTTCGCGGCTGTGTTTGTGTCGGTTGCACTTATTTTAAGCCTCTTTTTGTTGTTTTCTACATCTCTTTGCAGTCGTTTTGAGTCTCTTTGAGATCTGTTAGAGGACATGAGGTTGCTATGTGGTCTTTTCTGTTTTCTATTTGTAGTAATTTTATGATTTTTAGAAGTAATATTGTGTCTTTTTGTGGTTATTTAAAAAAAAATCAGGTTTCTTTTTGTCTCTTTGCAGTCATGTTGTGTCCAGCCTGTCCTCCTACAAAAAACGACCATATAGTTTATAGATTGTTCAGCAGCTTAATAGCCAGAGGGTTGGCTAACTTTACATGAAAGCTGCCCCATATACACGTTCTCCTGGCGAGACCTCAAATCATCTTCTTAATATCTATCAAACTATAGATCCTACACATCGACTGGACGTGGATTCTAAAAGTACAATATACACTTCTCGCTAGAAATCTAATCAAAAAGCGTTTTAATGGCCAAACTATCCTACAAAATAGGATTTTTCAGACAGGGTTATTTTGTGAATAAACGACCCTCTGTAACGTTTGCAATCAACGGGAGCACGAGAGGGCGAAAACTTTAAACGTGATTATAGGTCGTATTAAGCGCTTAAACAAACAACCTATTTGGTCGTATGAGTTGGAGGACTTGTTGGATTATAAGCAGCCCGCAGCTGGTGGATGTATACCAGTCTTCCTGAAAGAACTTGCGCTGAGCTTCATTACTGTAGAAATATTATAGGAGCATGACAGGAAATGTAACCTTGTGTTATGAAGCCAAACCGACCCGAACAACAATCAATTTGTTGAGAGAAAATGCGTTGAAACAAAGCAAGAAATGCTGCAAAATGCACGAAATAAACAATAAAATAAATGTAATATATCTGTGAAGGATAATGAAACCAGTCACACGTGCTTCAAGTTTTATTCACCATTATAAATATGCAGTTCAATACAAAACAAGTCAACATTCAACATTATAAATAGATTTATAAAACACACGGAAACATTTCCTCCCGGTAAAAGTGACAACAACAACAACAACAACAACAACAACAACAACAGAAACCCCCCAAAAACCCAGAAATCTTAAATTAAGTTTGACTTATTCTCCACTCTTTTCCACCCAAATATTTATCAAGGAAGGCGTTTAGTTTTAGGGAAAGAATGAAAATCCACTCTGCAGCTTGTATGGGACAGAAAGGGGGAATTCTCCATTAAATGACCCTTAAAATAAGTCATTTAAATCAGAATAAAGGCTGAAAACTCATCGAAAAACAGAGAAAACAGTGAGTTTTAACAATGCTTTACCTTTACTATTAACATGGAGACTTTTGCTTTGTTCCAATTGTAAAATAGAGGCATTTATCATTAAATAAGTAGCTTTTAAGACGATTTAATCAACAGTTTTAAAGGTCACCTATTATGCAAAATCCTCTTCTCCATGTCTCTTCTACATCAACATGTGTCCCCTCTTCTTCATGTCTCTTCTACATCAGCATGTGTCCCCTCTTCTTCATGTCTCTTCTACATCAACATGTGTCCTCCTCTTCTTCATGTCCTCTTCTACATCAACATGTGTCCCCTCTTCTTCATGTCTCTTCTACATCAAATGTGTCCCCTCTTCTTCATGTCTCTTCTTACATCAACATGTGTCCCCTCTTCTTCATGTCTCTTCTTAATCATCAACATGTGTCCCCTCTTCTCATGTCTCTTCTACATCAACATGTGTCCCCTCTTCTTCATGTCTCTTCTACATCAACATGTGTCCCCTCTTCTTCATGTCTCTTCTACATCAACATGTGTCCCCTCTTCTTCATGTCTCTTCTACATCAACATGTGTCCCCTCTTCTTCATGTCTCTTCTACATCAACATGTGTCCCCTCTTCTTCATGTCTCTTCTACATCAACATGTGTCCCCTCTTCTTCATGTCCTCTTCTACATCAACATGTGTCCCCTCTTCTTCATGTCTCTTCTACATCAACATGTGTCCCCTCTTCTTCATGTCTCTTCTACATCAACATGTGTCCCCTCTTCTTCATGTCTCTTCTACATCAACATGTGTCCCCTCTTCTTCATGTCTCTTCTACATCAACATGTGTCCCCTCTTCTTCATGTCTCTTCTACATCAACATGTGGTCCCCTCTTCTTCATGTCTCTTCTTCATCAACATTGTGTCCCCTCTTCTTCATGTCTCTTCTTCATCAACATGTGTCCCCTCTTCTTCATGTCTCTTCTACAATCACATGTGTCCCCTCTTCTTCATGTCTTCTTCTACAGCAACATGTGTCCCCTCGTCTTCATGTCGCTTCTTACATCAACATGGGTCCCCGCTTCTTCATGGTACTCTTCTTACATCAACATGTTCCCCGTCTTCTTCATGTCGCTTCTGACATCAACCATGTGTCCCCTCGTCTTCTTCATGGCCTCTTCTTACATCAACATGTGGTCCCGCCTCTTCTTATGTCGCTTCTACATCAACATCTGGGTCACCTCCTCCTTCAGTGTCTCTTCTTCACATCAACATGTGTCCCCTCTTCTTCATGTCTCTTCTTCATCAACATGTGTCCCCTCTTTTTCATGTCTCTTCTTCATCAACATGTGTCCCCTCTTCTTCATGTCTCTTCTTCATCAACATGTGTCCTCTCTTCTTCATGTCTCTTCTTCATCAACATGTGTCCCCTCTTCTTCATGTCTCTTCTTCATCAACATGTGTCCCCTCTTCTTCATGTCTCTTCTTCATCAACATGTGTCTCCTCTTCTTCATGTCTCTTCTTCATCAACATGTATTGTCCCCTCTTCTTCATGTCTCTTCTTCATCAACATGTGTCCCCTCTTCTTCATGTCTCTTCTACATCACCATGTGTCCCCTCTTCTTCATGTCTCTTCTTCATCAACATGTGTCCCCTCTGTGGAAAGAGACTCTGAAAGTTTCAGGAACAAAGATTCTCTCTCTTTTTGTCCTGATCCATTTCTATAAAAACCTGTCTGAAAATTAGCTGATCAGATTTTGGCCACTTGATGATGTCACGATGTTTTGGCTTGTGTAACCATTAGCCAATCACCAACCGAGGTAAACCCCCCCCCCCCCACCTTATCACCTGAATCTCCTCCTAGAGCACCATTGAGTTCTTTGTAACCAAAATGTCTCTCAGAGGGGCGTGGGGAGGGGCTCCTTTTTTTCATCTAAAGTAACAGACAGAGAATCAGCACTTTGGAAACAGGGCTGAAACAGAGGGGATTATGGGTAATGCTGCAATGATCTATTTGGTGTTTCAGCCAATCAGAGACAGGCTCTGGATATATCTGAGACCTGTGATATATGGATGAAAAACAGGATAATAGGGGACCTTTAAGGCCTAATAGAGTGGACTTCAAGGGGTCAATTTTAACCATTTAATTTCGGATGTTTGTCCGTCCCACCGTGTGAGACAGAAGGAGAAATACTGTTAAATAAAGGTCATTTAGATTGGAAGGACTGAAAACTGAACCAGAAAATGGGCAAAAGTGCATAAAGAATATCACATTTTGATTTTTCTCATCTCCTGGAAAGTACTGATTATTCTGGGGAATACAAATCATTGAATAAACCAAACTGCATTAAAAAAATATGTTATTTTCTCCGTTTTTTTAATGGGTTTTTAGCGTTTATTTAGTCCAATTCTGCCAATTTAAACACAATTTGACCGAACATGAGTGGACTTGAATTTTTAGATCTGTATCTTGTCCCAATCTGCGTGAGACTTAAAAGCAATAGTATTTTTCAAGGGGAAACCCTCTTATAAAGGTCATTTAAATTGGAAATAAGAATGAGAACTGAACCAGAAACTGTCAAAAAGTGATGAAAAATGATTTCCATGTAATACTCTTATTGAATGTTGTCATCCTTTCTGGAAAATACACATTCTTCTACAGGGGAAACCAAGCGTCGCATAAACCAAACCAGTTTTCTGACAGGGTTTGAAGTCCTTTTTTGTGCCTTTAAACATTTGATTTAAAATAACTTAAAGGCCGAACATGAGTGGACTTCAGTGTGCATTTTATTTTTTTATTTGAGATGTTTATCTGTGATGAGACCTAGAAATAAAACCCCTTGTCCCAACCTGTGAGACAGAAAAGGGGGAACACTTAAATAAAGGTAATTTAAATTGGAAGGAAGACTGAAAACTATTTATCGATTTATCTTTAGTATTAGATTCAGGGGTTTCGCATCCTTCCTGAAAAGACTGATTTTTCTAGAAGGAAAACAGATCCTCAAATAAACCAAACTCCATTAAAAAAAAAAATTGAGTTTTCTCAGTTTTCCAACAAGGTTTTGATCAAGTATTAAGTCCTTTTTTGTTCCTTTAAACCCAATATGAAAACTCATAAATAAGGCCCAACATGAACTCTCCACACTGCTCTTCTGAGTGTTTCAGGCATCGTGTCCCAGCAGTGTGTTCACCAGCTCCAGTGGTACATGTGTGCAAGCTGCGTCACCCCAGGGTGCTCGGGGCCGTACCCGGGGTGCAGCAGCGGGGAGAAGGTGCACAGAGGCAGGCTGAGGCCGGAGCGGAGAGACACCTCCAGGTCGGAGAGCCAGGGCTTCATCTGAGAGAGAGGGGGGGGGAAATACACACCTTTACTCAAGTAGAAGTACACATACATGTTGTTGGGAAGATACTGAGTGTACTCTTCCAATATGAGAGTAACATGGTAACAAAGGTATCCCAACTGTAGCTGTGAACATGACAGGATGTATGATTACCTAGAAGAGCATCAGGACTGTTTGAGGCATATGATAGCTATGTGATTAACATGATGATTCAGCCTCTATGGAGATAGACATATGACAAGCATGATCATTTCTGACGTGGAGCTAATCTGAAGTAAACATTGAATACTGCTTTCTATTCCTCCATCTTGTGACTGTGTAACTCCCTCTCTTGGATATCAGCATGTGAAGGACACTGTTCAGAATTTTGTTTTTTTATACCTTGAACGTTTTTTTATTATTTTTTATTATAATTATTATTATTTGTTTTGTTTCTAACATGTTTAATTAATTGACTAATAAAAAAAAGTACGAGTAAAAGTAAAGAAGTATGGGCTTTGAAATGTACTTCAGTAAAAAGTACCCATAACTAGCAGCTGTTTTAAAGAGTACCTGACCTCCCTTTATATTAATAGAACAATAATGTCATTGTTAGCTAATGAATGTTTCCATGCTGAACAACGGCAACATGACAACGTTTTCATTGGTCCCTCTTCTTTAGAGAAGACCAGGAAATGATGGATACACGGATCGTGTTCAAATCAATAGGCACGCAATGACTCTAAATAATAATGATCACGCCACCAAACACACATTCAAACTAAAGGAACCAGCCTGTTTGGAAAATGTGAGAAGTAGAAAGTACAGGTATTAGTGTTCAACATGTAAGAAGTAGAAAGTACAGGTATTTGAGTTCAACATGTGAGAAGTAGAAAGTACAGGTATTTGTGTTCAACATGTAAGAAGTAGAAAGTACAGGTATTTGTGTTCAACATGTAAGAAGTAGAAAGTACAGGTATTTGTGTTCAACATGTAAGAAGTAGAAAGTACAGGTATTTGTGTTCAACATGTAAGAAGTAGAAAGTACAGGTATTTGTGTTCAACATGTAAGAAGTAGAAAGTACAGGTATTTGTGTTCAACATGTAAGAAGTAGAAAGTACAGGTATTTGTGTTCAACATGTAAGAAGTAGAAAGTACAGGTATTTGTGTTCAACATGTAAGAAGTAGAAAGTACAGGTATTTGTGTTCAACATGTAAGAAGTCAAAGTAAAAAGTGGTCAGTAAAATAAGTAGTGGAGTAACATGAACATGTACTTAAGTACAGAAACGACGTATTTGTTCTCCGCTACTTCTCTCACCTGCAGGTCTGAGATCCGCTCGCAGGGCTTCCCGTCGCGCACGAGCAGCGGGATGGAGACGCGGCGCACGGGCAGCAGCGGCTCCAGGTGCTCCGCGCGCTTCATCTTGTAGCGGTGGTTCTGGAACCAGATCTTCACCTGCAGAGAGATGATAAATACATACATACATTATAATAATTAAAATATATACCCGGGTCTCCCTGCTCGGTGCGTGCAGAGGAAGATAATAATACATAGATATACAATTAAAATAAAAATAATTATTACAATAAAATGTAAAAAGGAAAGAATATAAAATATAGTAAAATAATAAAGAAATGAAATAATAATAATTTAAAAATGAAAAAAATATATACAATACAAAAGGAAATTTAAAATAGAAAACTGAAAGTGAGCATTATGTTTCTGTCCCTTCTGTAATTGTATATTTTGTACTTTTAATGCTCAATAAAATATATTTAAAAAAAAATATATATATATCCCCTTGTCTAATCACCTGATTGGGGGTGAGGCGGATGAGCCCGGCCAGGTGCTCTCTCTCCGGCGCGGACAGGTATCTCTGCTGCCGGAAGCGCCGCTCCAGCTCGAAGGTCTGCGCTTTGGAGAAGAGGACGCGCCGCTTCCTGCTGCGTCCCTTCTGCGCCGCGCCGCTGCCGCCGCTCGCCGCATGCCGTGCCGCGTCCGGGGACTCGTCCGTGGAGAGATCCGGAGATTTACCCCCCTTTCGGTTCTCTAAGGAAAAACCGTGCACTGCAGGAGGACAGGGGAAGTAATTGTACACACACACACAAATGCTGGGTTATTTAAACGCTGGGTTGAGATTGTTGGGTTAAAATCCACAGTTCTGGGTCAATAAGGTGCTCTTATCTTATCGTATCTGTTATTCAGCTTATTGAACAGCTCAAAACAAGCACAGTATGCCTTTAGTTATGATCGATATTCAGCATACCTGATCATTCTATCTTCCTCAATTTGCAACGATGTGTAATATAAGTCCTCATTGATATCACTTCCAACACACGTGATCCAAAACAACAGAAACAATAATAACAATAACAATAATAATGGGATTTGTAAAGACATTTCAGAATCAGAAACAGGTTTATTGACACGAGGAATTTGACTTGATGTCGTGGTGCATTCATAAAAGTAAAACCAAATTTGAAAACACAGATAGAGAACTAGAAACATATTTAAAATAATAAAAAAATATAGTCAAATATAACAGTATTTACATAGAAATGGAATGGAATAAAATATGGAATAAAAATCGGCAGTCATAAAAAAAGAAAGCAGGTATTGTTGTACATTGTGTGCATTAATGTAATGAGTCTATGATGTGGCTGCATGATCATTTAAGATATAAACAAACCATTCTACATCAGATTCATGTTTCATTTCGTTTCAAAAGCTGCTCAGGAAACCAGCTGATTGATCTCCAATCACAAAACGACTATTTGAGTTCAACATGAGTCTGAAAGATTTGACAGCTCCTCTCTTGCAGAAACTGAACATCAGCAACAACTTTTAACTCCATGTAAAAGCTCCACAGTCAACATTAAAACAGATCCAGTGATTTAATTAGTGATAAAATAAGAATATAATGTCAAATGACAGGGAAAGGCGTAAAAGAAGAGTCTCCAGTTATACGCACGGATGTGTGAGGCTGTCCGGGCAGAAATGAGGATTAGATGATCATTAAATGTCATTTTGTATAATTGTTATAGTAGTAAAACTTATTATTTGTGAACAAAGTATTTGAAATGGGGCATATATCGATTTGTATTACCTTTAAGTATTGATTTGCACGATCAAAACTCTGTCTTATTTGTGATTTTTGTGAGTCAGAAATTAGATTTATAGCCTACTGAATAAAAATGGATAATTTAATATACTGAGTGAAGACCTTAATATACTTTATTTTGTATATTTAATTTATAAAATAAATACTTTTCTTACATGAGAAGTGCAGGTTTACCGGATCCTCGGCTCCACCTGCCGCTAAATCCCAGTTTCTGCCCGGTCTCCATCCTGGGCACCTCCACCGGTTCCTCCTCCGGTTCCTCCTCCTCTGCTTCCTCGGTTCCGGATCCGTATCTCCCGGTTCGGTCCGGTAGATCCAGGATGTCCCGCACGGAGAAACCCGTTTTTGTGCCAAAAGACATTTTTACGCACGCACGCAAGGAAGGAAGGAAGGAAGGGAAAAAAAGGCGGTAAAGTTCCAGGTTTTTAGTCCCGCGGTGGATCAGTCTCTGCTGCCCGTTGAAAAGGAGCATAAAGCGGACTGAGAGGGTCCATGAGAGGGTCCGGAGAACCAGAGAGGACTCAGCTGGAGAAACACATGGAGGAAGACATTATGAGGCTGAGCTCCGAGCTTTAAAGTGTGTGTGTGTGTGTGTGTGTGTGTGTGTGTGTGTGTGTGTGTGTGTGTGTGTGTGTGTGTGTGTGTGTGTGTGTGTGTGTGTGTGTGTGTGTGTGTGTGTGTGTGTGTGTGTGTGGGGTGGGTCAAGTGTGTGAGTGTGTGAAATAGAGACCCTGGATCAAGAGAGATGATCTTCGGGGAGGAGAGATGGTTTAATGATGGAGGATTAGGAGCAGAGAGGAGACTCATTTGCATGTAGCTATTAGTCACTGATCCACTTCCGGTTTATTTACTCTTCAGATGTGTCCAAAAAAAAAGCTTGAAAGACATTTATATAAAGTGGAATGAATATGAGTATGCTTTAACATAAAGTGGGGTTTATTGGTGCAGCATTCATCATGGGCATCGTACCAGAAATAGGCTTCATAATCACATAGCACTTTCAAAACGTGCAAAATGACACGAAAAATGTATAAAAGTGGTCAAATTAAAACATGAGATTAAGTTCAATAAAACACATTTTTTAAATATGTAAAATACACACTTTTACAAGGACAAAAACACTAGAGAGAAAATGCTGAATTCTTTGGGCGTACATTTGCCATATTTTCACAAACTGAGTCTAAAAATAAGTCTAAAAAACCCCAAATGTACATTAAAATGAATAAATAAGAAAAGGGCCTCAGTGTTTCCTACGGCTCTTTGTATTCACCTTTTAAAAATAGATACAACATGAAGTCAAAACTAACATTTAGGATGAGTGTGTTGTGAGGATTAAGGGACTGTTTACACACCAGCTGATGGACTCACTGATACACACACACACACACACACACACACACACACACACACACACACACACACACACATTTATTATCCAATACAACTAATTAACATCTTTATTCATGGGTACACTTCTTCTTATAAATACTTCTTAGGGCAGCTGTAAACAATAAAAGGAAGTAGTCAAATACAAATAAATCACATTCATGCAAAAAAAGCCTATTCCCAGAATGGAGGATGGTTAGCCTAGCTTAGCACAATGAATGGAAGCAGGGGGAAACTGCTAGCCTCCTCAAAAAAGAAATACAACTTTCACCAATTGTTAAGGTTTTTTAATTACATTTTGTTTATTGTTGCTTAGTAAACTATTGACTAAATAAATGTAGTAAGCTCACATGTCACCATGTTCCCTAATTAAAGCTCCTAATGTTTATTTAAAAAGCGTTCACTGCAGGAGTTAAATAGAAAAACTCAATGCTCATATTTTACACCGTGATGTATGTGTTTGAATATGGGCTGAAATCAGCTGTAACATAAACAAGCACAAAACTGGTTTCTAGTCTCGTATCAAACCACTTTCCTTTACAGATACTATACATGTGCTGTCTTCAGAGGAAGTCTTTTGTGCTATATTGACTCAAAACAACTCAAACTGAGTGGGAAAATGTGACAGCACATGGTGTCAGGTTGTAATAAGGAATAAGGCTTAAATGGTAAATATGAGAGTAGATGATCAAATAAGTGAAGGAAATGTATGGAAAATCTTTTCTAAACAACTTTTAAAGCATGGTTTGTACGATTGTTAAAGTGTTGGTTTAAGTGTGTGTGTGTGTGTGTGTGTGTGTGTGTGTGTGTGTGTGTGTGTCCTGCTGGGTGGTCGAACTCTGCAAACAAACACACGTCGAGCCGACGGCAACAAAGACCTCACAGCCTCCACATTTATCCCATTTATGCCACCTGAACACTTTATAATGGGCTCACACACACACACACACACACACACACACACACACACACACATACACACACACACACACACACACACAGCTGGGCATACATGTGAGGCTGCTGGGAGTTGTCATGGTATTCACACTGCTGCCTTCAATAGACTGTCTTCTTTATTCATGACCACACACCCCCACACACACATACACACTCACACCCCCCCACACACACACACAGCTAACCAGAGTTGTTTTATCCTAAAATAACAATAATTAAATGTAAATACTTGCATTTTTACAAAACGAATTGCTTCACATAAAATAAATTAATTAATAAAATAAAACAAGTTATATAATCAGAAATTAAATGTAACAAAAAAAACAGTATTTAATTAAATATAATTTAAGTTACAAAACATTATATATAGGAAAATAAATAAAAATTGAATTACAGAATACAAATAGTCAATTAAACAAAAAACCCTTAAACCAATAATTATTATAATTTATTAATATTTCTAATATTAAATCAGATTTGTATCCATCACGTGCAGAAAGAGCAGCTCACATTAAAACAAGTTAAAAATAAAATGTAAAAAATGCGTTAATTAATGAATAGGTCCAACTTAATGCCTCTGTTCATCCCTGATCCTAGACTGCCCCCTGCTGTCAGATTGAGGAACTGCAGGCCATCGTTTTCTGCTGCTATAGATAAATATATAGGCACAATATTTAAAGGAAATAAAAATGTATTATTAATATTATTATTATTATTTAATATCCAAACAATTTTTTTATTCACAGACCAGTTGAAATATATTACAAAAGCTTTTATAAAGTGTGTTAAATGACAGGTGAGATTTAAATGAACAGAAAAATGTCATACACACATTCTCCAAAAGGGGGCGCCATTGCTTTAAAAATGAAGCCTTCATATATGAAGTCAGTCCACTTCATGTTCTGAAAACATCTTCATACGTTTATATATATACATGTGTGTGTGTATATATATATATATATATATATATATATATATATATATATATAGATCAGAGATAAGGAGAAATAGAGATAGAGAAAGATAAGTATAAATCGGCAGACGTATAGATATATAATTTATAAATATATATCTCTCTCCCTCTCTCTCTCTCTCCTCTCTCTCTCCCTCTATCTCTATCTTTTCTCTCTCTCTCCTCCTCTCTCTCTTCTCTCTCTCCTTCTCTCTTCCTCTCCTTATCTCTCTTTTCTTTCTCTCTCTTCTCTCCTCTCTCTCCCTTTCTCTCTCTCTCCTTCTCTCCTCTCTCTCTCCCCCTTCTCTCTCCTTCTCCCTCTTCCTCCGTTTCTCCTCTTCTCCCTCTCTCCCTCTTCCTCCGTTTCTCTCCTTCTCCCTCTCTCTCTTCTCTCCTCTCCTTCTCTCTTTCTCCTTCTCTCTCTCTTCTCTCTCTCTCCTTCTCTCCTTCCTCTCTCTCTCTATCTCTCTCGTGTAGTTGCCAGTTTAGTGAACCCTGAGATGTTGAGTACCCCAAAGCTGTATGTTAGAAATAGTAGGGTCTCCAGCACATAGAAACTTCCGGATGCTAACCTGCATATGTTGGGACATTTGCACAAGTTGTTTTAATTAGCATTTGCAGACAATGCTTTAAAAATCCCTGGCCGATTTGGACACTTTTGGAGTGGTTTTGGCGGATATTGAGGATGCGGAGTCCATTTCTGACATTTTCAGGATCAACAATGACAGTCTTAACCAGAAAATGCCAATATTTGTACTCTGAGGGCTGATTTTGACTGCCATGAGCAGTGTTGTGACCATTGGATATAGAGAGCACCAGATGAACATTATAACCTCTACTGTGGACAATTTATTCTCACATGAATAACCAATCTGTCAAATCCACTAAATCTTCAAAATCCACCCAAAATGTATCAAAATCAGCCCACATGCTACTGTGTACTTCTACTCCACTACATGTATTTAATACCTTTAGTTACTCTACAGATATGGATGAATGATGTGAAATATAATCAAGTGTTAAATCAGACTTTAGTTCCACCTGGAGTGTGTGTGTGTGTGTGTGTGTGTGTGTGTGTGTGTGTGTGTGTGTGTGTGTGTGTGTGTGTGTGAGAGAATGTACCGAGATGGAAATTAAATGGGCGTTATCTTTGTCACAGTATTTTGTCCTTGGGATTACTCTTGTAATCTGTTTTTCAGAACCTGCACCTTGGTTAGTCTGTTGCCGTCCAACCCCAGCAATACTTTTTGACTGAATTACAATGTATGCTTCAACTCCTTGGGCTAGCTCAGATTGAGGCTGTAAATCAGTCCAAGCAGTACTGCCCATCCATTTGCCAAGTATTTCAGCTCTTGCTGCACTGCAACACCCTCGATGATGACGCCAACATCTTCAAGTGGTTCCCCGGGTTCTGCTCCTTCGTGTTTGACGAGATAGTCCCAATGCCATTGGCTCCATTTGTGTTGTTGCCAATTCAACATCCTAAAGTGGGATTAGAACATAGTATTCATGATTATCAGTATGAGAACTAGCCCTGACACACATCATTGTATAATATAAAATAAATTAGCAAATCCTTTTGTTAGATCCATTGTAAATAAATACATGTAGTTCTAAATGTACATGAACAATAACCAAAGTAGCAGCAAATACTTTGAATACAAATTTAATTATTTAAGTAGTTATTTTTGCTTTTAATTTAAAGAGGACATGTTATGCAAATGTTCAGGTTCAATGAATTGTGAGCAACTATACCAGAGCCAAGTTCTGCATGATCAGTGAACATTTCTTCAGACGAGGTATCCTCATGTACATCACTACGCCAACTTCAAAGTCTTTCACTGTGCCATGCTTCCTGCTCTTATGACATTTAAAAGTAGTGTATATATATATTTCAATCAGGAGAGACTTCATTTTGTTTAAAGAACATTTATTGACACATGCCATATGATAAATGTTAAGTCGTTGGCGATTAGACCCCGATCCTGAAATCGTATATCTAAAGGGGGGATGCAGCCGTGAGCATATAGGGAACCCCCCCTCAGACAGACAGGTAGCAGCACCTCCCACCTTACAGTCCCTTCAGACAGACAGGTAGCAGCACCTCCCACCTTACAGTCCCTTCAGACAGACAGGTAGCAGCACCTCCCACCTTACAGTCCCTTCAGACAGACAGGTAGCAGCACCTCCCACTTTACAGTCCCTTCAGACAGACAGGTAGCAGCACCTCCCACCTTACAGTCCCTTCAGACAGACAGGTAGCAGCACCTCCCAACTTACAGTCCCTTCAGACAGACAGGTAGCAGCACCTCCCACCTTACAGTCCCTTCAGACAGACAGGTAGCAGCACCTCCCACCTTACAGTCCCTTCAGACAGACAGGTAGCAGCACCTCCCACCTTACAGTCCCTTCAGACAGACAGGTAGCAGCACCTCCCACCTTACAGTCCCTTCAGACAGACAGGTAGCAGCACCTCCCACCTTACAGTCCCTTCAGACAGACAGGTAGCAGCACCTCCCACTTTACAGTCCCTTCAGACAGACAGGTAGCAGCACCTCCCACTTTACAGTCCCTTCAGACAGACAGGTAGCAGCACCTCCCACTTTACAGTCCCTTCAGACAGACAGGTAGCAGCACCTCCCACTTTACAGTCCCTTCAGACAGACAGGTAGCAGCACCTCCCACTTTACTGTCCCATGTCATGCCGGCTTTTCTTGGCTTGTTTGAAGGTGAGTGGAGATGAACAAATCACTAAGCTGCCAGTGCCTTGAGTTTACAGCTAATTAGCCAAAAGACAATAACATATAGTTAACTAAGGTAGGCTGCTAGCTAATGGATAGGTTTAGCCAAGGCCATTTATCATGGGCATACAGGCTAATGTACTGTACTTGAGGGGAGACACTAAAGGTGAATACAGTAAAATGTGTATCTAATAACGTCATTACAATCGCCGCATTGATATGCAAATTAGGCGTTAACTAGTACACTAGTAATAAAGTACTATCTTATCTCTTATCTTAATTAAAATGCGCTCATTTGCATGCAGTTACCAAGGCATTGCAGGTGAAAAGGATAAACCTCACAACCATAGGCGGATTTTGCAGGGGGGGGCAGGGGGGGCATTGCCCCCCCTAGTGGCTGAAATATGTTACAGCATTACTACGTCGAAAACTGTTCCAATACAAATATTTCGTATATCAATATTTTAATAAGGTAGGACACTGGTTAATAATATTGTAGCGTGTTCAAGTAACCAAGGGATATAGTAGTTCTCAAATAAGTATAAGATGTGCACAGTTATGAGTTTTACAGTATTGTAATGCACTGTTGGGGGGGGAGACCGCCCCTTCCATACGAGTGTGTGTGTACGGCAGGCATGGAAAAGTCATACTCAGTGCGGTGAGCACTGGCTTTATTGCTACTGTAGCCGTAGCATCCCACGCAATAGTTGGGACTGTGTACTGACGTCAGTAAAAAAGGTTTGCCCCCCAAGTGCAAATGTCAAACTCCACCTATGCTCACAACTTCCCCAGATAGTTACTTACGTCAAGTCAGTATACTATTTCCCCTGAAATGTTATGTTTAAATGCAGATTAGCTTTAAATCTATAGATGAATTCAGACATGGTAGTACAACGAACACCATTTATATGTGTTTTTTTTAAGTTTTCTTTCCAATAGAGTGAAAGAAAACATGGAAGCAAAATAGACCAAAATAACAAGTACATGAAAAAAAGATCTTTTAGCCTGTAATGTCCTTAAACAGTAACTTCATCATTTTGATTGTTGGCTGCTCCTTTAATAACTATTAATTAACTAGTGTGTTGTCTGCTCTTGTGCTTAGTGAATACTAAAGAAGACCATTGTCTCTGTGTTAGCTGATTATTTTGTAGAATGTAGAAAGAGTATTAAACAATTGCGTGAGTGTGAGGGTATTAAAATGAATTGGTCAGTAAGTCAGAGATGTGCAACTTTATTTAACTTTTTGTTTTAAAACTTTTTTTATAAATTATTATGGGAAGTGCCTTTTTTCTCACTTGAGCACCCGCCCCCCAACATGTCTGTGTACGTCCCTGGTGAACACGGATAAACGTCACTTATCTGCTGGTTGAATTGCGGCGTAGAGGGCCTGCTCGTAATGAGACTCGAGTGTTCGCGGATCAGCTGATCGAGGGGCCTCGACTCCGTTCTGATACCGGTTCGGCTTGTTCGCTTATGCCGAGACGGCCGGACGTACCCGTGTTTCTGCCGATGGAGGTCTTCTCCTCTCGCTTTTGCTTGATATCTGCTACGAGGATCTGACACGGGTATGTCGGCAGCATGAACACCTGAAATCACAACTGACTGCAGGAGAGAGGAGAACCATTTTAAAGTGTGGCTGCAGCACGATGATTGGCTGCTGAGATTGAGGTGAATGTAATAGGTTAGCAGGAAGCCCGTGATGAGCTGATTATAAGCAGCTGCGGGGTGGATGTATACCAGTCTTCCTGAAAGAACTTACGCTGAGCTTCATTAGTTTCATAGCGCTTCAAGTGGGTGTTGATATGGGAAAAGGACACTTCCTGGACACAAATAGCATGTGAATGTTACTAGCTCTGCACGCAGGTAAAGATTCAACATACTTAAATGTGTTTTGAAAGAGCATGGGTATTGTACATGGATATGGGTGTCTCTGACCAACATGGCTGTGTTTTAAACTTTTAAATAGTGCTTCAGTAATTGGTACCTTGTAGATTGAGTCTCAGTACACTGTTTGCATCTCCACATTCAAAACCTAGAGAAAAAGAGAAATGTGTTAATGATCCAAATTGATTGTAAATAACTATTAACATAACTCAGGGTGTGAGATGCAGGATATAGCAACCCATTACTGGATCTTAAGCAGCGGTGGAAAAAGTACTCTGATCCTGTACTAAAATAAAAGTATAAATACTATAGTCCCAAATTCAAAATAATACTTAAAGGTAGGGTAGGTAAGTTTGAGAAACCGGCTCGAGATACACTTTTTGTTATATTCCATGGAATGCTCTTAACATCCCGATAGCAATGAATATCTTAAATGCTTTGACAACAAATCCATTAAAACAATTTCATCTGTGGAAGCCGTAGTACTGTAAAAAGCACGACCAATCATTTTAGCCGGCCCGGCTAAAATAACTGGATGGCCTACCTGCCTGTCAGCCTTCCATCGGGGCACACACTTATCTCGTGCCCTCATTGGTCATGTGCGCTTTTCGTGTGTTGGAGGAGGGGCTCTGTAAGGAAGTGGCAGATTTTCTCCGGTTGTGTATTTTCAAATTCTAGCGATCTCGAGCCGGTTTCCCAAACTTGCCTACCCTACCTTTAAGGTAAAGTATCAAAAGAAAAAGTATTTTGTGCAGAATGCCTTTTGTAAAAGGGTTGCATCATTGTAGAATAAAAATGAATGTTCTTATAATGAAAAAAATACGTACAAGATTTGTTAATGTTGTGATTTGTTAATATAGAGCACATTTTTGGAAAGAACTGAGTAAATGTATATGAATATAAACACATTATCTAAAAAGCTAACTACAAGTGTCAAATAAATGTAGTGTGGTAAAAGTACAATATTTCCCACTGAAATGTAATTGAGTAGAAGTACAGAGTAGCAGCAAATGGAAATACTCAAGTATATTTCTGTGGTAGGCCTACTTGTACTTTACTTAAAGGTGGGGTAGGTAAGTTTGAGAAACCGGCTCGAGATACACTTTTTGTTATATTCCATGGAATGCTCATCCCGATAGCAATGAATATCTGAAGTGCATTGACAAAAAATCCATAAAAAAATGTCATCTGTGGAAGCCGTAGTACTGTAAAAAGTACGACCAATCATTTTAGCCGGCCCGGCTAAAATAACTGGATGGCCTACCTGCCTGTCAGCCTTCCATCTGTGCACAAACTTATCTCGTGCCCTCATTGGTCATGTTCGTGTGTGTTGGAGGAGGGGCTCTGTAAGGAAGTGGCAGATTTTCTCCGGTTGTGTATTTTCAAATTCTAGCGATCTCGAGCCGGTTTCTCAAACTTACCTACCCCACCTTTAAGTGCAGTAATTGATGAAATGTAGTTAGTTACACTCCACCACTGATCTTAAACACGGCATGCGCTTCGAGCTGAAGCCAACTTAGAACATTGTTTGTTTTAACACAAACAATGACACTCAAAGTGAATTTCAGTGAAGAGGAGGGGGAGGGGAGCCATGACTGACTGTACTTCCTGTCTGCTGTGTTTCAGCTTCACTCAGAGACAACATGGCTTCCAGATCAGAGGAAGATCTCTGCTGTCCGGTCTGTCAGGAAGTCTTTAGAGATCCTGTTATTCTGTCCTGTAGCCACAGCTTCTGTAAAGCCTGTCTGCAGACCTGGTGGAGAGAGAAACCAACACGAGAGTGTCCAGTCTGTAACAGAAGATCTTCAAGAGGAGAACCTCCCTGTAACCTGGCTTTAAAGAACCTGAGTGAGACCTTCTTACAGGAGAGAGATCCAAGACCTCCAGAGGCTCTCTGCAGTCTGCACTCTGAGAAACTCCGACTCTTCTGTCTGGACCATCAGCAGCCAGTGTGTCTCGTCTGCAGAGATTCAGAGAAACACAGCGACCACAGATTCAGACCCATGGATGAAGCTGCTCAGGATCTCAAAGAGGAGCTCCAGAAATCTCTGCAGCCCTTCAAGAAGAAACTGAAGCTCTTTGATGAAGTTAAAGTGAAATTTGATCAAACAGCAGGACACATGAAGGTCCAGGCTCAACGCACAGAGATGCAGATTAAGGAGCAGTTTAAGAAGCTTCACCAATTTCTAGAAGAGGAAGAGGAGGCCAGGATGGCTGCACTGAGGGAGGAAGATGAGCAGAAGAGGAGGATGATGGAGGAGAAGATGGAGGCTGTGAGCAGAGAGATAGCAGCTCTTTCACACACAGTCAGAGCCACAGAGAAGGAGCTGAGAGCTGAAGACGTCTCCTTCCTGCTCAACTACAAGGCTGCAGTGGAGAGGCTGCAGCGCCCCCTGCTGGAGGTTCCACAGCTGCCCTCGGGAGCTCTGATAGACCAGGCCAAACACCTGGGCAACCTCAGCTTCAACATCTGGAGCAAGATGAAGGACATGGTATCCTACTCTCCTCTCATCCTGGACCCAAACACTGCTCATCCATTCCTCATCCTGTCTGAAGATCTGACCGGAGTGAGGGAAGGAGGAGAGAGACAGGAACTTTCGGATAACCCAGAGAGGTTTGATGATTACGCCTCTGTCCTGGGATCTGAGGGCTTTAACTCAGGGACTCACAGCTGGGATGTCCAGGTTACTGACAGTACAGACTGTTCACTGGGTGTGTTAGCAGAGTCTGTCCAGAGGAAGGGAGTCCTAAAGTCTGGATCATGGGTAATAGGGTTCTATAAAGGTAAATACTTAGCATGGTCACCACCAGATCCACCCACTCCTCTCAGCCTGCAGAAGAAGTTCCAGAGGGTCAGAGTGGATCTGGACTGGAACAGAGGAGAGTTGTCGTTTTCTGATCTTGACACTAACGCACACATACACACCTTCACACACACCTTCACTGAGAGGATGTTTCCATACATTAACTCTGGGTGTGAGGCGAAGATATTACCACTGAAGGTGTGTGTGACCAAACAACAGAACTGATGGTCTTTAGACTGAAGCTGGTGATTAGTTACGAAAAAGACACACGGCTAATGACAACAAAGATATAATTAACCTTCAACTATAACGAAAATGCAAATTTGTATATATCTATAAATAGAAAGCAACAACATGCAATGTCAGCGATGTCTATTAAGATATCAAAAATGTAAGAATTGTAAACAGGAATGCAAACGTGCTGGAGTAAAAATGTAATGGTTAATTTCAGTTTTACATGTGAACATTTTTGAGATCTGACCAAAAGTAAAAATGATGAGATTTCAGTCAGAATTCTGAGAAACAAAAAAGTCAGTTCTGAAATTTAAAGTCAGACTTCTGAGATTTAAGTGAGAACTTGGAGAAAAAAAGTAAATGTTCTGAGATGCCGCTGCAAACAGCTGTCATCTGATTGGTTGCGCGTCGTAATTTCAGCGTTAAACGAGGTCAGAGTTCAAATCATTTTAACTGAGCAAAGTGCTCCGCCGCAATCTTGAGCGATGCGCGTCGTTGAGGTTAGTGCTTCAGAAACACAACGTCAGCACAGAGTGTTTGTTTGTAATCTGTGAATGCAGCTTGAAGATATAAACTTGTAAAACGCCAATTGGTTGGATTTACTTTTAAAGTAAAGTGTCTACCTACATGTGTCTACCTACATGTATCAATCATCTAGCCTGACACATATTGAATGTTTGCAAATGTAAAATAAGAAATGAATTAAAATGAACATGTATATACATATTTGGTCAGGTGTACATATTATTTACATGTGTGAAAACGGTGTGTATTTTAGGTCCAGTGTCACATTGATTTAGTTTGTATAAAAACTCTGGTTTGTGTCGGGGTACCAACTATATACCTGGTAACAGAGTATTCCTACACTCTGGTACTTCTACTTTTACTCAAGTACAAGATCCGAGTACTTCTACTTTTACTGAAGTACAAGACCTGAGTACTTCTACTTTTACTCAAGTACAAGATCTGAGTACTTCTACTTTTACTCAAGTACAAGACCTGAGTACTTCTACTTTTACTCAAGTATAAGACCTGAGTACTTCTACTTTTACTGAATTACAAGATCTGAATACTTCTACTTTTACTCAAGTATAAGATCTGAGTACTTCTCCCACCTCTGCCAAAAACAAATTCCTCATGTAGTTTTCAATAAACCTGATTCTGATAATAGTATATTTATTTTGTAAAGCATTGCTCTCATTGCCTTGTTTCTTTTGCTGCAACGCAAACATTTCCCCAACTGGGAACAATAAAGTATGTATATATATACATATATATGTATATATATATGTATATATGTATGTATATATATACATATATATGTATATATATATGTATATATGTATGTATATATATAATGTGTATGTATATATATAATGTGTATGTATATATATATATATATATGTGTATATATGTATATATATATATATATGTGTATATATGTATATGTGCTTATATGGTTATATGGTTATATGGTTATGAATGTTAAGTAAACCCACAGGAAGCGACATGCGCTCATCTTGACTGAGAAAAGAAGACGCAGCTGCTTTGAGGAAGGAAGTACATCCAACATTTCTCGAGGCAGCCAGTCGAGACTTAGGCTGCGTTTCACTTCTCTTATTTTTCATTTCCTCGGTCTCGGTCTCACCGGAAGTTGATTTGTCTGCGCCATCTTGAGTAGCGTCCCAATGGCCTTATTTTTGCCGGAGGACCGAGGATCGAGGAGCGATAATGGAGGAGCTATAATCGAGGAACCACCAGACCATCCTTCGATGAAATCCTCAGATACTCTCCCCGCCCCCTTACTGTGTATCGCTCACTGATTGGACGATGCAGCGCATGCACTGATCTAATGCTTCTTGACATGAGAGCAGTTTCCCAGCGGAGTGAAGAAAACACATGAAACTCACGGGACTCACTCCTCAGTTCATACTGTGTTTTGTTTCAATGAATGCATCATTCAGTTACAAATATGTGATATATCTGAACAACAAAGTGGACAAAAATCATTTCATTCATTTATTGGAAACATTTTCGTGATCGCTTTTTTCGTTTTACATTTTCATTTATTGTCATTTCCATTCAGTCAGTCATTAAGTGCTATTTAACATATTAATTTGCTACATATCCACACAAACAAACAAAGTGTGCAATCCAATGAATGTTAATCTAACTGGGTTTTGATAGATAACATATCTCTTTTTCTTCTCTCAATTCTTTTATTTATATTGTGCACTCTAATCAATATTAATGAAACTAATATTCGTTTATACATTTTAAGAATGGCGTTTATCTTTTTTGAGAATTAGTTCTTATTTGATTTTATTTATTTGGGTCTACAACAGATGATACAAATGTTTGTGTCAGTAAATGTGTACTAACAGAGGCGAGGGTGTTTGTGAAAATAACGGGGACAGAGCTGGCTGCTGTCAGACGATCAGCTGTGCGGCGTCATCACAAACGGACGTCGCTTCACGTGACGCTCCGGAGGAAAGGACGTCCCATTGCTCTTAAAACTCATTTCCCTGCTTCTCGTGGTTTCCTTGCGTCTCTCCATGCTTCCCTGGTGGGAGGGAATAGTCGCAGGGAAACGACGCAAGTGAGGGACGCAAGGAATCCATTTAACCGAAGTGAAACGCAGCCATACACAAATACAAGAGACACGATGGCCGAGTTCAAACGGATTCAAATGTGTTCACTTCTCATTCTGCTGCTTCAGTTTACAGGTAAGGATTCCTACAACATGTATATATTTAGAAAACATTAAAAAATGTAATGTATTCATCATGAATGTTACTTTATTACCTAACCTCCTTTTAACCAAGACAGAGAAGTGGTCTGTTTGTCTTCCAACGAGGGGAAGGCCACTTTTAGACACATCGGGACACTTTAGTTGTATCTTAAATGAACATTTGTATTTCTCTGTATTCTTTATACTTATCTCTTGTTTATTCAGGGGCTGCAATTGGACAGCGTCCCCTCTTCCTCTCTGTCAGAGTTGGAGATGAAGCCACTTTGCCGTGTAACAGTGTGAGAGATGATCAGGATCAATGTAACGGTACTACCTGGTTCTTCAGAGATTCAAGAGGCACAGCAGTGCTGGTTGAAGATGGGCAGATTGATGAAGATGCCAAAGCTAAATCAGACAGACTGAGAGTTACAGAGAATTGTTCTCTGGGTATAAAGAAGGTCACAGAGGAGGATGCTGGAGGTTACGGCTGCAGACAGTTCAGATCAGGAGAACAACGACGAGGTCCAGGCTCTTATGTTTATCTGTCTGTTGTTACCAGTGAGTATTTACATCATAATGTTTCCAAACTTTCTCTGTTGAGCAAAATACTAACACATAACAATGGTAATGATTACTGTGATGAAGTTAATGTTAATCTTGTTGTCTTTTCTCTCACAATATCTCCATCTTCAGTGACTGAACATCAGGACAATGATGAGGTGACGTTAAACTGCTCTGTGGTGCCATATAGACGGTGTGATCACAGAGTGAAGTGGCTGCTTCAGGGTCGAGATGTGGATAAAGATCACAGAGAGATAAAGACATCACAGTCTCCCTGCTCTGCCTCTGTGACATTTCTGAGTTCCCTCTTTAGTTACACATCAAGGTCTGAGTTGTTTACTTGTGAAGTAACTTATCGTTCCAACGTGTGGACCTTCAGCCCTCAGTCCTCAGGTGAGAACATGTTGAGCCATTCAAAGTGACTTACAGGGATGCAAACTTGTCACCTTTCGGCGAAATTCGCCGTTTTGAATCCAAAATAGGTCGTTTGTGTGATTCATGTAGATCTGCAATAAAAATATTTTTGGGGTATGGGGGGGTCTGGGACCCGGAGTAATCTGCGGCCGCGAGCTGTTATGTGCCATCATGACACGCATGGTGTTCTTTTTTTATATAATGAAGCGCGAGCTGTGTGCTCGAGTCTTCCTGCCTGTCGGCTCTGCTCATGGATGTATAATAAGGCTCTGCTGCTCCGGGATGAGGGTCTAGCTTCAGCAGCTACATTACCTAGGCTACGGTGCGTTCGTTAATATTAACTGTGCGGTCCGAAGTCACTGTGGCACAGACTGGACCGCTGGTGAACAGCTGTTAGAACGGGCCTGTCGGAGCGGCAGAGCGTGATGTGCGCTGAAAAGTTTTTCTGTCGCAATATTATAATCGTTGAGCTAGCTAACTAGCATACATTGTCACTATCTGCTAACGTTAGCTTTAGCCTTCGTTTTCAAATAGCTTTTTTCATAGGCTATAAACGGAGGTGGTATAAGTATATATCTTGTACTTGAGTAAAAATAGAAGCACTCAGATCTTGTACTTGAGTAAAAGTAGAAGTACTCAGGTCTTGTACTTGAGTAAAAGTAGAAGTACTCAGATCTTGTACTTGAGTAAAAGTAGAAGTACTCAGATCTTGTACTAGAGTAAAAGTAGAAGTACTCAGATCTTGTACTTGAGTGAAAGTAGAAGTACTCAGATCTTGTACTTGAGTAAAAGTAGAAGCACTCAGATCTTGTACTAGAGTAAAAGTAGAAGCACTCAGATCTTGTACTAGAGTAAAAGTAGAAGTACTCAGGTCTTGTACTAGAGTAAAAGTAGAAGCACTCAGATCTTGTACTTGAGTAAAAGTAGAAGTACTCAGGTCTTGTACTTGAGTAAAAGTAGAAGTACCAGAGTGTAGGAATACTCTGTTACAGTAAAAGTCCTGCATTCAAAATGTTCCTCAAAAGTAGTGATTGTGCAGATTGGTCCATTTCAGAATAATATATATGATATGTTTTATAATGATTGATCATTAAAGTGTTCTCAAAGCTGGTAAAGGTGCAGCTAGTTTGAATGACTTTGTATACTGCAGGGTAGCTTGTGAATTTACTCCAGGTGGAACTAAAGTCTGATTTAACAAAAAAGTACACCATTTACCTCTGAACTGTAGAGGAGAAGAAGAACAAAGTAGCAAAACATTGAAATACTTAAATAAAGTACAAGTATCTCAAAATTGTACCCAAGTATAGTACTTGAGTTTATGAATTTAGTTACTTTACACCAGTGGCTATAAAGATAGAAAGACTAAGCCTTGCACAGAGGCATGAAAATACATTTTCAAAATGCTCAACAGTGCTGCCAAAATTATAAACTGACTGCTACACAATTAAAATAAATGCTTTTATACATTTCTATTAGATGTGACTCTTTGGCGTTTCTGTTATTATTAACTGCTTTAGTTGTTCTGACTGCTAAAATCCTCTGTTATTCCTAATTTTAAAGCTGATATTCCGTGGGGTCGGGGGGCTCGGATCCTTGTCACCTTTTTCATACCTGATGAGTTTGCATCCCTGTTTATTACCTAACCTCCTTTTAACCAAGACAGAGAAGTGGTCTGTTTGTCTTCCAACGAGGGGAAGGCCACTTTTAGACACATCGGGACACTTTAGTTGTATCTTAAATGAACATTTGTATTTCTCTGTATTCTTTATACTTATCTCTTGTTTATTCAGGGGCTGCAATTGGACAGCGATACCTCTACCTCTCTGTCAGAGTTGGAGATGAAGCCACTTTGCCGTGTAACAGTGTGAGAGATGATCAGGATCAATGTAACGGTACTACCTGGTTCTTCAGAGATTCAGGAGGCACAGCAGTGCTGGTTGAAGATGGGCAGATTGATGAAGATGCCAAAGCTAAATCAGACAGACTGAGAGTTACAGAGAATTGTTCTCTGGGTATAAAGAAGGTCACAGAGGAGGATGCTGGTCGTTACGTCTGCAGACAGTTCAGATCAGGAGAACAACAACGAGATCCAGGCTCTTATGTTTATCTGTTTGTTGTTACCAGTGAGTATTTACATCATAATGTTTCCAAACTTTCTCTGTTGAGCAAAATACTAACACATAACAATGGTAATGATTACTGTGATGAAGTTAATGTTAATCTTGTTGTCTTTCTCTCACAATATCTCCATCTTCAGTGACTGAACATCAGGACAATGATGAGGTGACGTTAAACTGCTCTGTGGTGCCATATAGACGGTGTGATCACACAGTGAAGTGGCTGCTTCAGGGTCGAGATGTGGATAAAGATCACAGAGATATAAAGACATCACAGTCTACCTGCTCTGCCTCTGTGACATTTCTGACTTCTCTTTTTAGTTACACAACAAGGTCTGAGTTGTTTACTTGTGAAGTAACTTATCGTTCCAACGTGTGGACCTTCAGCCCTCAGTCCTCAGGTGAGAACATGTTGAGCCATTCAAAGTGACTTACAGGGATGCAAACTTGTCACCTTTCGGCGAAATTTGCCGTTTTTAATCCAAAATAGGTCGTTTGTGTGATTCATGTAGATCTGCAATAAAAATATTTTTGGGGTATGGGGGGGTCTGGGACCCGGAGTAATCTGCGGCCGCGAGCTGTTATGTGCCATCATGACACGCATGGTGTTCTTTTTTTATATAATGAAGCGCGAGCTGTGTGCTCGAGTCTTCCTGCCTGTCGGCTCTGCTCATGGATGTATAATAAGGCTCTGCTGCTCCGGGATGAGGGTCTAGCTTCAGCAGCTACATTACCTAGGCTACGGTGCGTTCGTTAATATTAACTGTGCGGTCCGAAGTCACTGTGGCACAGACTGGACCGCTGGTGAACAGCTGTTAGAACGGGCCTGTCGGAGCGGTAGAGCGTGATGTGCACTGAAAAGTTTTTCTGTCGCAATATTATAATCGTTGAGCTAGCTAACTAGCATACATTGTCACTATCTGCTAACGTTAGCTTTACCCTTCGTTTTCAAATAGCTTTTTTCATAGGCTATAAACGGAGGTGGTATAAGTATATATCTTGTACTTGAGTAAAAATAGAAGCACTCAGATCTTGTACTTGAGTAAAAGTAGAAGCACTCAGATCTTGTACTTGAGTAAAAGTAGAAGTACTCAGATCTTGTACTTGAGTAAAAGTAGAAGCACTCAGATCTTGTACTTGAGTAAAAGTAGAAGTACTCAGATCTTGTACTGGAGTAAAAGTAGAAGCACTCAGATCTTGTACTTGAGTAAAAGTAGAAGTACTCAGATCTTGTACTTGAGTAAAAGTAGAAGTACTCAGATCTTGTACTAGAGTAAAAGTAGAAGCACTCAGATCTTGTACTTGAGTAAAAGTAGAAGTACTCAGATCTTGTACTTGAGTAAAAGTAGAAGTACTCAGATCTTGTACTGGAGTAAAAGTAGAAGCACTCAGATCTTGTACTTGAGTAAAAGTAGAAGTACTCAGATCTTGTACTTGAGTAAAAGTAGAAGCACTCAGATCTTGTACTAGAGTAAAAGTAGAAGTACTCAGGTCTTGTACTTGAGTAAAAGTAGAAGTACCAGAGTGTAGGAATACTCTGTTACAGTAAAAGTCCTGCATTCAAAATGTTCCTCAAAAGTAGTGATTGTGCAGATTGGTCCATTTCAGAATAATATATATGATATGTTTTATAATGATTGATCATGAAAGTGTTCTCAAAGCTGGTAAAGGTGCAGCTAGTTTGAATGACTTTGTATACTGCAGGGTAGCTTGTGGATTTACTCCAGGTGGAACTAAAGTCTGATTCAACAAAAAAATACACCATTTACCTCTGAACTGTAGAGGAGAAGAAGAACAAAGTAGCAAAACATTGAAATACTTAAATAAAGTACAAGTATCTCAAAATTGTACCCAAGTATAGTACTTGAGTTTATGAATTTAGTTACTTTACACCACTGGCTATAAAGATAGAAAGACTAAGCCTTGCACAGAGGCATGAAAATACATTTTCAAAATGCTCAACAGTGCTGCCAAAATTATAAACTGACTGCTACACAATTAAAATAAATGCTTTTATACATTTCTATTAGATGTGACTCTTTGGCGTTTCTGTTATTATTAACTGCTTTAGTTGTTCTGACTGCTAAAATCCTCTGTTATTCCTAATTTTAAAGCTGATATTCCGTGGGGTCGGGGGGCTCGGATCCTTGTCACCTTTTTCATACCTGATGAGTTTGCATCCCTGTTTATTACCTAACCTCCTTTTAACCAAGACAGAGAAGTGGTCTGTTTGTCTTCCAACGAGGGGAAGGCCACTTTTAGACACATCGGGACACTTTAGTTGTATCTTAAATGAACATTTGTATTTCTCTGTATTCTTTATACTTATCTCTTGTTTATTCAGGGGCTGCAATTGGACAGCGATACCTCTCTGTCAGAGTTGGAGATGAAGCCACTTTGCCGTGTAACAGTGTGAGAGATGATCAGGATCAATGTAACGGTACTACCTGGTTCTTCAGTGGTTCAGGAGGCACAGCAGTGCTGGTTGAAGATGGGCAGATTGATGAAGATGCCAAAGCTAAATCAGACAGACTGAGAGTTACAGAGAATTGTTCTCTGGGTATAAAGAAGGTCACAGAGGAGGATGCTGGAGGTTACGGCTGCAGACAGTTCAGATCAGGAGAACAACGACGAGGTCCAGGCTCTTATGTTTATCTGTCTGTTGTTACCAGTGAGTATTTACATCATAATGTTTCCAAACTTTCTCTGTTGAGCAAAATACTAACACATAACACTGGTAATGATTACTGTGATGAAGTTAATGTTAATCTTGTTGTCTTTTCTCTCACAATATCTCCATCTTCAGTGACTGAACATCAGGACAATGATGAGGTGACGTTAGACTGCTCTGTGGTGCCATATAGACGGTGTGATCACAGAGTGAAGTGGCTGCTTCAGGGTCGAGATGTGGATAAAGATCACAGAGAGATAAAGACATCACAGTCTCCCTGCTCTGCCTCTGTGACATTTCTGACTTCCCTCTTTAGTTACACATCAAGGTCTGAGTTGTTTACTTGTGAAGTAACTTATCGTTCCAACGTGTGGACCTTCAGCCCTCAGTCCTCAGGTGAGAACATGTTGAGCCATTCAAAGTGACTTACAGGGATGCAAACTTGTCACCTTTCGGCGAAATTCGCCGTTTTGAATCCAAAATAGGTCGTTTGTGTGATTCATGTAGATCTGCAATAAAAATATTTTTGGGGTATGGGGGGGGTCTGGGACCCGGAGTAATCTCCGGCCGCGAGCTGTTATGTGCCATCATGACACGCATGGTGTTCTTTTTTTATATAATGAAGCGCGAGCTGTGTGCTCGAGTCTTCCTGCCTGTCGGCTCTGCTCATGGATGTATAATAAGGCTCTGCTGCTCCGGGATGAGGGTCTAGCTTCAGCAGCTACATTACCTAGGGTGCGTTCGTTAATATTAACTGTGCGGTCCGAAGTCACTGTGGCACAGACTGGACCGCTGGTGAACAGCTGTTAGAACGGGCCTGTCGGAGCGGCAGAGCGTGATGTGCACTGAAAAGTTTTTCTGTCGCAATATTATAATCGTTGAGCTAGCTAACTAGCATACATTGTCACTATCTGCTAACGTTAGCTTTACCCTTCGTTTTCAAATAGCTTTTTTCATAGGCTATAAACGGAGGTGGTATAAGTATATATCTTGTACTTGAGTAAAAGTAGAAGCACTCAGATCTTGTACTAGAGTAAAAGTAGAAGTACTCAGATCTTGTACTTGAGTAAAAGTAGAAGCACTCAGGTCTTGTACTAGAGTAAAAGTAGAAGTACTCAGATCTTGTACTTGAGTAAATGTAGAAGTACCAGAGTGTAGGAATACTCTGTTACAGTAAAAGTCCTGCATTCAAAATGTTCCTCAAAAGTAGTGATTGTGCAGATTGGTCCATTTCAGAATAATATATATGATATGTTTTATAATGATTGATCATTAAAGTGTTATCCAAGCTGGTAAAGGTGCAGCTAGTTTGAATGACTTTGTATACTGCAGGGTAGCTTGTGGATTTACTCCAGGTGGAACTAAAGTCTGATTTAACAAAAAAGTACACCATTTACCTCTGAACTGTAGAGGAGAAGAAGAACAAAGTAGCAAAACATTGAAATACTTAAATAAAGTACAAGTATCTCAAAATTGTACTCAAGTATAGTACTTGAGTTTATGAATTTAGTTACTTTACACCAGTGGCTATAAAGATAGAAAGACTAAGCCTTGCACAGAGGCATGAAAATACATTTTCAAAATGCTCAACAGTGCTGCCAAAATTATAAACTGACTGCTACACAATTAAAATAAATGCTTTTATACATTTCTATTAGATGTGACTCTTTGGCGTTTCTGTTATTATTAACTGCTTTTGTTGTTCTGACTGCTAAAATCCTGTCATTCCTAATTTTAAAGCTGATATTCCGTGGGGTCGGGGGGCTCGGATCCTTGTCACCTTTTTCATACCTGATGAGTTTGCGTCCCTGTTTATTACCTAACCTCCTTTTAACCAAGACAGAGAAGTGGTCTGTTTGTCTTCCAACGAGGGGAAGGCCACTTTTAGACACATCGGGACACTTTAGTTGTATCTTAAATGAACATTTGTATTTCTCTGTATTCTTTATACTTATCTCTTGTTTATTCAGGGGCTGCAATTGGACAGCGATACCTCTACCTCTCTGTCAGAGTTGGAGATGAAGCCACTTTGCCGTGTAACAGTGTGAGAGATGATCAGGATCAATGTAACGGTACTACCTGGTTCTTCAGAGATTCAGGAGGCACAGCAGTGCTGGTTGAAGATGGGCAGATTGATGAAGATGCCAAAGCTAAATCAGACAGACTGAGAGTTACAGAGAATTGTTCTCTGGGTATAAAGAAGGTCACAGAGGAGGATGCTGGTCGTTACGTCTGCAGACAGTTCAGATCAGGAGAACAACAACGAGGTCCAGGCTCTTATGTTTATCTGTTTGTTCTTACCAGTGAGTATTTACATCATAATGTTTCCAAACTTTCTCTGTTGAGCAAAATACTAACACATAACAATGGTAATGATTACTGTGATGAAGTTAATGTTAATCTTGTTGTCTTTTCTCTCACAATATCTCCATCTTCAGTGACTGAACATCAGGACAATGATGAGGTGACGTTAGACTGCTCTGTGGTGCCATATAGACGGTGTGATCACACAGTGAAGTGGCTGCTTCAGGGTCAAGATGTGGATAAAGATCACAGAGAGATAAAGACATCACAGTCTCCCTGCTCTGCCTCTGTGACATTTCTGACTTCTCTTTTTAGTTACACAACAAGGTCTGAGTTGTTTACTTGTGAAGTAACTTATCATTCCAACGTGTGGACCTTCAGCCCTCAGTCCTCAGGTGAGAACATGTTGAGCCATTCAAAGTGACTTAATTAACTCATGTATTTTTACTTATTCAATGATTTGAAGTTGTATTATTACATCACAATATAAATTGCCCATAAGACGGTTTGCTAGTGAAACATTTGTTGATCTTTTTTCATCTGTTCAGAGGCCTGTACTACGAAGCTGGTTCAACCTAACCTGGATATGTTTGAGTTAGCCGGTTGGCCCAATCCAAAACATACGCGCTGGTGCTAAACTGTACTACGACGCTGGTTATCAAGTGGATCGCTCAAGCCAGCCGTGTCCTATCTAGTTAGGTGCGCGTTCACATGAAAGGGGTGGTATTTGGAGCATTCGACCAATCTCAAACACGGACAAGCGTACTGACAGCGCAGCGTCATACTTCCTGAATGAAAAGTGAACTTTAATATTAGTCAAATATGAAGAAGTTAAACTTTAAACATCCATGACTTAAACACTTTATCCAGGATCAAAGCCACATAGCTGCACCTGCAAGGTGAATACAGCTGGTAAAAGAAAAAGCGTTTGAATGCGTACATTAACAGGTTTATGATATCACTGCCCCGTCTAAGACACGATCTGACTTTAATTACATTTGACTCGAGTGTTTCGTCAACTTATTGTGTTGCTTAAAATAATACTTCTGCATACAGTATGTGACACTGTGAGTGTTGCACGGCCAGATACGGCTCAGCTGACTCAGATAAGGAAATATATGATACATTATGATGTGATATGATATGAATGATAATGGGACACATCGACGTCTGCACTCACAGTGCCGCGGACTGTACTTAATGTTACTCTGATCCGGTTACTTATGTCGTGGCAGATATTTAAGTAAGCTTTCTTAACGCTAATATTATAATAGTCAGATTGCTCTGAAGATGGGAGGGGATATTCTATTAATTTTCACGTTCACACAGTCAGTTGATTTTGGCCGGCCGTCTTTCCTGCAACGGCAGTTTTTCTGTATTTCCTCTATCCTGTAATATGACTTGATCGCTTTAAACTCCGCACACGGAGCTCTGATTGGTCAGCAGGCGGTGCTTTCACTGAGTTGATCTCTTAGCCTGCCACCTAACCTGCTCCGGAGCAGGTTTGCCACTCAGCATAAGTTACCATGCAAATCTAGCCCGCTAAAAAGAGAACCAGCGTCGTAGGACCGGAAAGCCCGAGATTTCCCTGAATTTAGCGGCTAAGCGAAAATCCGGCTTCGTAGTACAGGCCTCAGGCCTCAGGTGAGAACACAGCAACAACAGCAACAACAACAACAACAGAGAGCGACTCCAGATCAGAGGCCTATACTACGAAGCCGGATTTTCGCTTAGCCGGCTGACTTCAGGGAAAACTCTGGCTTTCCGGTCCTACGACGCTGGTTCTCTTTTTAGCGGGCTAGATCTCCATGGTAACTTATGCTGAGCGGCAAACCTGCTCCGGAGCAGGTTAGGTGGCAGGCTAAGAGATCAACTCAGTGAAAGCACCGCCTGCTGACCAATCAGAGCTCCGTGTGCGGAGTTTAAAGCGATCAATTCATATTACAGGATAGAGGAAATACAGAAAAACTGCCGTTGCAGGAAAGACGTCCGGCCAAAATCAACTGACTGTGTGAACGTGAACATGAATAGAATATCCCCTCCCATCTTCAGAGCAATCTGACTATTATAATATTAGCGTTAAGAAAGCTTACTTAAATATCTGCCACAACATAAGTAACCGGATCAGAGTAACATTAAGTACAGTCTGCGGCACTGTGAGTGCAGACGTCGATGTGTGCCATTATCATTCATATCATATCACATCATAATGTATCATATATTTCCTTATTTGAGTCAGCTGAGCCGTATCTGGCCGTGCAACACTCACAGTGTCACATACTGTATGCAGAAGTATTATTTTAAGCAACACATTAAGTTGACGAAACACTCGAGTCAAATTTAATTAAAGTCAGATCCACTCGTGTCTTGGACGGGGCAGTGATTTCATAAACCTGTTAATGTACGCATTCAAACACTTTTTCTTTTACCAGCTGTATTCACCTTGCAGGTGCAGCTATGTGGCTTCAGCAAAACTACAAGGTAGAGTCTCAGCATCTGTACGTTATCTGTCTCTAGAACCTCTTTGTCTTCTGTCCCCCGTACACATGGAAAGAAATGAGGACACATTTAATTAGCTCACTTTCTAAAACAAAGCCATTCATTAAAGTTAAAAGCAAAACATTTAAAGTGAAGTAGTAAATGTGCAGGATGAAATCTAGTTTCAAAGCAAACTGTGCAGAAGTCAATAGATTAAATCAGATCAGACGGGAACTGATGGTGCGTTCAGGGTCTGCTGATTAAACTGTGAACTGTGTTTTACTTTGAAATCCTTTGTAACCAACTCAGTGTTGTTGTTGTTTTCCTCAGGTGCGTTATGATGTAGATGATGGTACAGTGAACTATGAAAACATCAGACCTCCTGATGGAGTTTGAGCAACACTTCTGCCTCCATCAGACTCCACTGATCAACAACGTCTACATCCATCATCGTGTTTCACATCAGGAGTGGAAGATTTTACAATCATTCTGAATTACATATTATTTCATTTTAGTCTTGATCTAATAAACCACTGGATGTCACCGTAAAGAGCTTTTAACTCTTGTTTCCTTTCTTATATTGTCTTCCAGCTGAAGGTTCAGAGCTGATTTTAAGATGTACTGATTGCTATTAGAGTTACAGCAGCTTGAGCTCATTTTAATATCTCTGTGTTCAGAATTATTACTTTCATTCACTTTCATTTAGCTTTGCTTTGTCTTTTGATGTCCATGTGATTGAATGGATTATCAGCCTTAATGTAGATAGTAAGTTTTCTCTTTGTAATATCTGTTGACATTAGAATCTGCAAATAAAAAAAACAACAACAATTGAGTCTATTTTTTGAAATAGTCTAAAGTCACTTTGAGAAGTTTACATCATACGTATGAGAGGAAGTAGACGCAACACTTCTCTGCTAACACACTATTTCATCAACATCTCATCAGAACACGAGATAGAGGAAGCAGAGAGACGGAGAATCAAGATGGATGAGTTCAAACTGATTAAAATGTCTTTATTTCTCATTCTGCTGCTTCAGTTTACAGGTAAGGATTCCTACAACATGTATAATACATTTATAAAACATTATAAAAGGTAATGTATCAATCAGGAATGTTACTTTATCAGTGCCGTACCGTGGGTCTTTAGACAGGGCCTTCAGTAAACTATTGAAGAGCACATACAGTACACACACTTTACACGTCTCTGTTCCAACGAGGCCATAATCAAATAATGTGCACATTATGCCAAACAGTCTCTCAACAATACGACAGCTGATCAACAATCACAACAGTAAGCTAGATAAGGGTGGGTTGAATGCAGACGCAATTTCCCAACATTGATCAATGAAGTAATCTATTATTAAACTTGTGTCATTGTGCACTCTCACGTCGCTCTAAAATGAAGCGAATAGTAGCCTGTCACTTGTAAATAAAATCCATGCTACGAAGGAAGTTCATGACAGAAGTTTAGGGTAGCTCTAGGCCCAGGTGGCGTACTGTCATCGAACGTCAACATCTGATTGGCTGATTAATCTGTCACTAATGCTTATTACCAATCAAATGGATTGTCTTTCAACAAAAGTCTAGCAGTATCTGCTGTGCTGGCCCCCGCCAACTAAAATAACTGAGAGGCGTTTAAGTGACTTTTTGATGTAGGAAATTCCATTTCAGCCTCAACCAAACCTTACTTAATTTAGTAATTTTGAGGATATTATACTATTAAAACTTATGGTAACACTTTATATTAAGGTAAGTAGTATTACTGATGCTGTGTCAATCACATTGGTATGCATAAAAAGTGACAGGTCACACCTGCTATGTTCCGCCTCCTACTTATGCTAATGAGCCCCTTTGATATGCTAATGCGCCCCTTTGTTCGAGGTGTTATCACGTGTAGGTGTGATTTCACAGATAGGTGTGATATCCTTTGATGTGAGGGGTGAGGTGTTGTAGCGTGTAGGTGTGATATTCCCCATTGTAGTAGATCCTTTGTTGTGTAATCTAATTAGCCTTTGATGTCTGACCCTTTGATGTCTATCCTTTGATGTGAGGGGTGAGGTGTTTGTAACATGTAGGTGTGAATTCCCCCTTGTAGTAGATCCTTTTGTTGTCTAATCCAGTGGTTCCCAAACTGTGTGCCGCGGCACACTGGTGTGCCGTGAGGCAAGTCCGGGTGTACCGTGGGATTTTGTGACAACCATATGTTATTATTGCAATATACAACTACACAAAAATAATTATTTTTTAATTTACTATATCAGTACTTTGTATGCACTCATTTCATAATACAGAGGCAAACTCTATACCTAAAAACAATTATTTTAATAAAAATCCTCACGGAACCCCATATTTCGCAGGTAACGCAGTTGCAGGTGGGAATTATACGACCGTGACACACCGAAGGCTGAAGGACAACATTATAACAAAGAAACACGCAAGAGGGAAAATGGAGCGCTTTCTTGTGCGGAGCAAACCACCAACCACCAGTGCAGAGACTGCCGAAAACCCACCACCGAAAGAAAAGAGGAAAAAAACTGTCAGCAGACAGTATCATGACAGTTACCTGTCTTATGGCTTCAGTTGGACCGGGGATGGCAACAATCCTCAACCCGAGTGCGTCGTCTGTCGGGAGAAGTTAGCTAATGCGAACATGGTTCCAAGCAAGCTGAAGAGGCACTTGGAAACCAAACATCCCTTCCATGTTCAGAGAAACTTGGCCTACTTCATAAGAGCGCGGGATCTGAACCAGATCCATCCAACCGTTTGTTGGATTGTGTGAAAGTGTCTGAAAAGGCAATGGAGGCTAGTTACATGCTAGCGGAGCTCATTGCAAAGCAGAAAAAACCTCACACAATAGCGGAGACCCTCATCCTCCCCGCTTGCAAAAAAATTGTAGGTATCATGCTGGGTCCAGATGCCGCAAATGAGCTATCCAAAGTGCCGTCGTCTGATAATACCATCAAAAGAAGAATCGACGACATGTCAGAAGACATTGAGCAACAATTGACAGAGAAACTGCAGGCGAGCGGCAGATTTTCCCTACAAATAGACAAATCGACAGACATAAGTGGGGCTGCCCAACTTCTGGCAAACGTCAGATATGTTGATGCTGACTCTATCAAAGAGACGTTTTTCTTCTGCAAAGAAATGGAAAGCCATACTACGGGAGAAGAAATATTCAGGGTAACTCATAACTATTTAAAAGAGAACAGTCTGACCTGGAATATGTGCGTCAGTCTTTGCACAGATGGTGCAGCAAGCATGACGGGGAGAGTGAAAGGATTTATTGCTAAGGTGAGAGCACAAAACCCACATATCGTCACAAACCACTGCATTTTGCATAGAGAGGCATTAGTTGCCAAAACCATGCCCCTGGAGTTGACTGAGGTGCTGAATCAGGCTGTGCAGATGGTGAATTACATAAAATCAAGGCCCCTGAAATCTCGCCTCTTCTCCCAGCTGTGCGCCGAGATGGGAGCCGACCACCAAAGCCTGATCCTCCACACAGAGGTACGTTGGCTGTCACGGGGGAAAGTCCTATCCCGTCTTTATGAGCTTCGGGAAGAGCTTTTGGATTTTTCACGTGAACACGCTGTCCCACATAAAGACAAGCTTGCGGATGAGAGGTGGTGCGCCAGGCTGGCTTACCTCGCTGACATATTTGGGCATCTCACGCCAAGCTTCAGGGCAGGAATGAAAACATTTTAACATCCACAGACAAGATTCGGGGGTTTATGGGCAAACTTAGCCTGTGGCGCGAGGCTTTGGAACAGGGCTCCATGGACATGTTCCCGCTGGCATCAGCTGCGCCGCAGGCAGCAAGGGAGCGCGCTGTATATGCCGAACACCTTCAGACCTTAAAAGAGAGGTTTGACCGCTATTTCCCACATGTGGCTGACATAGAGGACTATGACTGGATCCGAGACCCATTCCACCCGGAACTCTCATCAGAAAAGCTCACTATGAAAGAGAGAGAGGAGTGCGCAGAGCTCCGTGTGGACCGCACACTGAAACTCAAATTTAGTGAGCTCCCACTGGATCAGTTTTGGTTGGCTTCTGCATCGGAGTACCCAAGCATCTCCCATCACGCGATTGAGCAACTTCTTCTTTTTCCCACAACCTACCTGTGTGAGTTGGCGTTCTCTACTCTGGTTTACATGAAGAACAACAGGAGGTCACGGCTCTCTGTTGAACAGGACTTGCGAGTGGCCCTCTCCTCAGTGCCACCAAGGATTAAAAAAATCTGCGCGCCCGACAGGCACATGTATCTCACTGATTTGTAAGTCGGCAAAAATATTTACAATAGCACATGTTTCTATGCTGATTGCTGAAATGTTATATTTATAATTTGTAGTTCAGGACCATGGACAGTGCAGCTTCCTTGCATTGACAGTTCTCTGTGCTGAATTTCTGCTGAGTTTCCTTTGCCTCATTTTTTATTGTGTGACCTGTCTGGTTTAAATGAGTGTGTTGCTGCTTTGATGAAGCCTAATTTGTTAAAGTTTCAAATGAATTGAAATATTTCGTTAATAAATATTTCATGAGTAATATAGTTGTCTTTGTCACATTTTATATGGCATTAGTAAATAATTATGCACATTTACAGATATTTTACATGATATGAGTGATAACACGTGTTATACGGGCTATTTTGCAAAATAGGTGTGCCTTGAGATTTTTTTTGTCCTTTGGTGTGCCTTGGGCCCAAAATGTTTGGGAACCACTGGTCTAATCTAATTAGCCCTTTGATGTATGTCCTTTGATGTGAGGGTGGTGAGGTGTTGTAACATGTCTCGCACCCCATCCCCCTCGCACCCCGTCCCCCTCTCACCCCTTCCTGTCACCCCATCCCCCTCGCACCCCGTCCCCCTCTCACCCCGTCCCCCTCCCACGCCTTCCCCCCTTCCTTTTGCTGTGATGTCAGAAGGTAGAGGTGGGGGTGGAGCTTGGTAAAAAAAGAAATCCGTGCAAACTAGATAAAAAGCCAGTCATTTCCACTCACCAAGTCACCTAAACTTTCAAAAACGAAAATGGGAAAGAGACGCATCGATATGGGTTTAATCAGCGAGACGCCTGTGACAACTTACCGCCATCCGTCGGGAGCGCCAGTCAAGAAACGGATGCAGTATCTGTGCCGTGTTCAAACCCCTCCGTCTGAGGCTCTTCATGAAAAATGGAGTCTGGATGTGTGAGACTGTCTCCCCTCACACACCTTTTGCTTTTTTCTTCCTTGCTTTTGTTTGTGTTACTAGGATACTTTTAGATACACTTTGAAGTGTGCAACACTTTACAACTGATAGAATAGTACTTTGTAAGGAATTCGTTTTCTTGGTAGAATATAAAGTACTTTTGTAAGGAATTGGGTTTCTTAACAATCCTGCTCCACCATTAAATCACTTAATCTGCTACTTCCAGGCAAAAGCTTTTAAAACTTGCATCGTGTATTAAGTCATGTCTTGGCAAAAATGAGAGTCCTGGGTGCTTTAAAACATTTCTTAGAACATTTTGATATATTCAAACACATAATGAACTGCAATGACTCACTGCTGCATCAAATTTATTTTACACTGTTGGGAGGACAACACTGTGAGACTCTCAGACCCTTTTGTTGTCAATCTAACTAGCCTTGATCTATAAAAAAGTCACCTACTACTTTTATTTGTCCTCTCTAAATTAGATTTAGGGTTTTTCAAATTCTGAAAAGGCGTGTTGTGAGGGGGGAAAACAGATGTATGTATAAGGTTTTGAATGGTGGCTGATTGATGAAAACTGATCCAAAATAAGGGGTCAGGAATAATATGGCTTGAAATATGAGCAATCATGTTAAT